CCCAACATCGAGTGGGTTGAGCCGAAGACACCAAGCGACCCTAGGGACATAGAAGCTGCAGACAGGTACCTGCAGTTCCTGGTGGGGTGGTTTACACACCCAATTTTCAAAAATGGGGACTACCCCGAGGTCATGAAGTGGAAAGTTGGGAACAGGAGTGAGCTCCAGAACCTGCCATCATCTCGCCTACCAGTTTTCACAGCAGAAGAGCGTGAATACATGAGGGGCACGGCAGATGTGTTCTGCTTCAACACCTACACCTCCAAAATTGTAACCCATGCAGTGACCCAGTTGAGGCCCTTCTCTTATGAGTATGACCAGGAAGTCTCAACAAGTGTTGACAGCTCCTGGCCTTCCTCTGCTATTTCTGACCAGCGGGCTGTGGCTTGGGGGCTGAGGAGGCTACTGAACTGGATCAAAGAAGAATATGAAAATCCCCCAATATATATAATTGAGAACGGGGTGGGGGTAAAGACCACATCAGATGTTGATGACAATACCAGGATATTTTACTACAAAACATACATTGATGAAACTTTAAAAGGTACCTGTGTTTTGCTATTGTTCTGTTGGTGTTGCATATGTAATCACCTCTCTAGATTCCTGCTTACTTCATTCCTCTGAAAAGTAGTTTTAAAAAGTGGTTGATGTCAGCCTTCAAATATTCTGAACATGATATAAACATAGTGTTTCTTTTTCTGATCTCCTTTGCATGGCCATTTATATTTTGTATCCTCCAACTATGAAGAGTCTCTTAATGATCTTAGTTGATGAGTCCCAGCTTTATGAAGCTAGAAGATGGATGTGCTTGCATGTGAATTCTATGGAGTTCGTTTAATGTATGATTATACCACTGATGCTTTTCTGTTTGTTTCTGATCTTTCAGCTTACAATTTGGATAATGTTAATCTGAGAGGATATAATGCTTGGTCTCTTATGGATGACTTTGAATGGCTGAATGGTTATGATCCAAGATTCGGATTGCACCAGGTTGACTTTGACAATCCCAACAGGCCAAGAACCCCAAAGCGCTCTGCTGTGTACTATGCAGAAATCATCCGCAATAATGGTATCCCAATGCCAAAAGAAGATGAATTTTTATATGGAGAGTTTCCAAAGAACTTTTGGTGGAGTGTAGCAACTTCAGCATATCAGGTTAGGAAATGGAGATGGATTTTTAACCTGTCTGTGGACAGTTAATTCATTTTGTATGAGCACCTACAGCTTTTTTAACGTTAAGTTTTACTGTAATTGAGGGTTAGTGTAGCAACTGCTGTAAAAGGGAGGAACTTGGAGATGTTTATAGGGCATAGTTATACCACAGGAATTGAGACAGCAGCATGGAATTCAGAAGAGGCAGCCAACATGGAGCAGCAGGTGAACTGAAACATTGCCCGGTCTGTGACATTGTGCTTTGCTAATATGTCTTGCCTTGGGGCCCAAGAGGTCTTACTAGTTTGATACAGCAAAATCATTGCTATTTTTAGTCTAGCTGATAAGTCAAAATATTGTGTAATGCCGCAAAGACTAGCAGGCTGAATACTTTGTTGAGCCAAGACCTATATTTGGAGTTTACTAATAATATTCCCCTATCTTCAACTACAGGTTGAGGGAGGGTGGAGAGAAGATGGGAAAGGACTAAGTATTTGGGATCAGTTTTCTCACACTCCCTTGAAAATCAGCAATGGTCACACTGGAGATGTAGCTTGTGACAGCTACCACAAAGTTGAGGAGGATGTGGAAATGCTGAAAAGCCTCAAGGTGTCTCACTACCGCTTTTCAATCTCCTGGTCCCGCGTTCTCCCAGATGGGACCACCAGATACATCAATGAAATGGGACTGAACTACTATGAAAGGCTTATTGATGCTCTTTTGGCAGCTAACATCATGCCTCAGGTAACTGAAAATGGAACTTTCAAGTAACTAAAAGATGGCAGAACCCAAGTCTGATGCTCAGAGCATGTGCATGTGTTTCCATCCGTCCCTCAGATAATGCCTTATCAAACCTGTGCCTTCATGGCAGTACTCTAGACTGGTGCAATGGAGGTACCAGACTGCACAGGTGTTCTATGGGATTGTATTTCATCAGGGACTTGGTGCAGGCACAGCAGTTCTTCACTGACACATTCTTGTGATCACAAGGTTGTAGCGGTTTTTGGTAAAGGCTTCATCTTCACCATCAGGTAGTCCTTAGGCTTCAAGTAATTTCCTCACATCCTCAGGAAACTGAAACACTGGCAAGAAGGTATTTTATTTGAGCACACGAGTGATTACTGCAAACTCAAACACCGTTAGGAGCAGGTAGCTGCAGATCAAAGCACAGTTTATTTATGTTCTTACGAGGCTAGATTGCTGTGCTTATTTCAGAAAGTAAGAGTGACTGATTGAGTCCTTTATCTTGCTGTCTTTCACTTCAGGTAACTATCTACCATTGGGACCTCCCACAGGCGCTGCAAAACGTTGGTGGGTGGGAGAATGATACCATAGTTCAGAGGTTTAAGGAATATGCTGAGCTCCTTTTCCAGAGACTGGGAGATAAAGTGAAATTTTGGATAACCCTCAATGAACCCTACAACACTGCATATTTTGGTTATGGCGTTGGAACAGCTGCCCCAGGTAAGACCACTGGGTATAACCTCAGAGCCTTCACAGCACTGTAGGTACAGCTGTTTTTTGCTGCAGCAGAGTAGATGCTAGGGACTTGCAAAGGCAGAGCAAGAAAGACGGTGTGGTAGGGATACATGGGTCTGCTGTGGTGTGGTGAAGAGGTCCTGCTCTCACTTTGCCTGACACCTCCTAGACCCATCTTCCTTCCACCCTAATCCAGTCCTCCTCTGCAACATCCAGATTACACTTGCTGCCTGGAGCAGACCCATTTTCAGACCAGCCCCAGGGACTGTGGAGATGGGTTAGGGCTGGAGGAAAGCCAAGCTTGGCTGTAGGATAGAAGGATGTGGAGGGACAGGAGCTGGCCTGAACACACAGCTGTCTGCTATCCATACTGGCAGCAGCAGTGTGTTGCTGGGGCTGGCAGCCCTGCATGGGCAGAGAGCTGAACCAGCCCATGTCCCACTGCAGGGGGAGGAAGGGGCAATGGCGGGGTCCTGCACAACTGCAGCTGCATCTTCAGCTGTCTCTACTGAAGCACTGATTTCATCCCAGGGCTGGGCTTAAGGGCACCAGAGGCTGCACATTTACTTGTTTACTAGTGGGCAGTTCTGGCTGTCCTGGGTGTTGTGTTGACCTGGGAAGCAGCTGATGAGAACGCTGGGAACTGCTGCTCCACCGCCTTGCTGTCTCTGTCTGCAGGCATTTCCATTCGACCAGGGCGAGCTCCCTATGTTGTGGGGCACAACTTAATAAAAGCCCATGCAGAAGTCTGGCACCTCTACAATGAGACCTACCGGGCAAAGCAAGGAGGTTTAATCTCTATCACTATCAACTCTAACTGGGCGGAACCAAGGAACCCACACAACCAGGAAGACATCAGTGCTGCCAGACGATTCTTGCAGGTACAGAGACACCTGGTCACAGCTCTTCCTGCTCTCCTGGGTTTGTTCATGGTGACACCCCATCTGTGGGTGCTGGAGATACCCAGAACCCAGGTTAGCATCTCACTGGAAGAAAAGGGTGAGCCAAAGGCATCACTGCAATATATCATCCTCTTCTAGTGGCCAGTAAAGCTGCAACAGAAATGAGACAAAATATGGTCGGAGTGACAAAAGCACATTAAACTTACTGCCATTAAATGGGCATCCCTGGGTATCTCTATGTGCCTGTCCATTATAAATTCAAAAGCAGCACATGAAAGAGAAACCTCTTGTTTTGATACATAATTTATCAATCTCCCTTGTTTCCTGGCTTAGTTTTTCTTAGGTTGGTTTGCTCATCCCATTTTCAAAACTGGTGATTATAATGAAGTGATGAAAACAAGGATTCGGGAACGCAGCCTGGCTCAAGGTCTGAGCCAGTCCCGGTAAGAGCTCAGGCACACACCTGCTCCTCTTTCACCTGCTGTACTGAAACCTGAATTACTGGTAGATGGGCTGAATTTCAATGATTCTATTGCAGTATTACTGTAGCTAACTTACTGTATCCTCACAGAAGAACTCTAGTGTACATTTTTCCTGATCCTTGTCTTTACGTCCCTTGCAAACTAAATTTACTAATTGTCCTGGGTTCAGCAGTAGCAGTCATTTTTCTCCTTCTTAGTAGCTGGTGCAGTGATGTGTTTTTGACTTTCAGCCTGGGAACAGCACTGATAACACCGATGTTTTTAGTTGCTGCTCAATGATGTTTACTCTGACCAAGGACTTTCTGAGTCTCATGCTCTGCCAGGGAGGAGGGGAAGTCAGAAGGAAGCAGAAACAGGACACCTGACCCAAACTGACCAAAGGGGTATTCCATACCACAGTACATCATGCCCAGTATATAAGCTGAGGGCAGTTACCCGGAAGGCCCAGATCACTGCTCAGGTTGGGCTGGGTATCCGTCAGCGGGTGGTGAGCGGTTGTATTCTCTGCCCTTGTTATTTCCCTTATCATTATTATTATTGGTGGTAGCAGCAGTGGTTTGTGTTATACCTTAGTTACTGGACTGTTCTTATCCCAACCCGTGGGAGTTACATTCTTTCGATTCTCCTCCCCATCCCTCCGGGAGCTGGGGGAGGAAGAAGAGGGGAGCGAATGAGCGGCTGTGTGGAGCTGAGTTACCGGCTGGGCTTAAACCATGACACTAACATAACCTGTCTCTGGGGTAATAAGTTGGCAGGTCAGGAAATGCTCTGTATTAGACACAGTGCTTTACCTGATGACTGTGGTAAATGCATTTTAACTTTTCTTAAAATTATGTACTGAATTTGAGCACTGAGAACTCACTGGTCCCTCTGAATTATGTTTCTTATTTTGCAGTCCCATAAATTATTCTTTATTGTGGTAGTAGTGCTCCATCATGAATGTTTTTTCTTTTCTCTCCTTTCAAGGCACACACAAGGAAAGTACTTTTTTCTCTTAACATTAATAGCAATTTAATGGGGTGTATTAGATCTGGGCTATTCCTGATCACTCATTTGTGCAAATGGGAATGACCACTTGTTTTGAAATGCGGGAGATGGTAGAAGAGTCAGTATGTGCTCTGCAGCAAAGGCGGGTCTCTTCAAGATTTGAGTTATGCTTTTGTATATGCCTTAACCACTTGCATTCTTAGGCACTTTTTTGGACATGCTATTTCTTCTCTGGTGGTTGCTGCCATTAATAACAGAACAAAGTCATGTTTGTTGATTTATGAGGTAACATGCCCAAGTATCTCAATATTCTAGAAGAATTATGGTACCTTGCCTTTCGCTTGTGGTGCTGGTACCAGGTATACCAGCATTACATGAGGTGTGTTCAAAGTGTGGATCTCTGAGACAAAGCTCACAAGTTTTGTTTCCTATGCAGAAGCCAGAGTTTATGAGACAACACTGTATTATCCTCCGCCACAACCTACCAAGTGCTACTACTGACACACAGAGAAGAGCTCCTCTTGCAGCAGATGCCTGTTCCCCGGCTGCTGGGAAGCACATGTTAGCAGAGCTGCCTGGCTGTATCTTCCGTATACACAAGCAGGAGTACAGTGTTTTGATGGGCTCATGACAGCTCCCCTGAGCAGGGACAGGAACCCCTGGATGTCACTGGCTGCTAGCAGGCACTATTTAATGCTTACTTCTGTCAGAGCCAGTTGTGATTTTGCAGAAGAGTGGGCTTGAAACTGGTCACTTGTGAACACTGCAGCTCTGGGTTCTCCATAGGGTTTTGTGACAAACTAAGTCCATAGGTGACCATGTGACAATCAAAATGATTATCACCATTTCCTCCCATTTCCACACTCCTTACTGGGCAAACACTGTTTCTTGTCTTATAAAGTAGGATGTTGGTCAAACTTCTTGTGTGATGTTGAGCAGGACTTCTAGCCATCAGGTGTCTCTTTTCTGGTCAGAGGAAAGTCTGTTCTTCCCCTGAAGAACATTAGAGCAGGCAGCATGAACTGCATAGTCTAGCAAAAGCTAACTACACAACAGTGCTGGGAAGGAGTAGAAGCAAAGGAAGGGGAAATCCTGAGAAGATACACAGTTTGAGGGGTTTATGCTTTTCTCTGTTTTCTATTGCAGGCTTCCAGAATTCACTGAAAGTGAAAAGCAAAGAATTAAAGGCACATATGACTACTTCGGCCTGAATCATTATACTACAGTATTGACATACAACATGGACTATCCTGCTGGTGTTCTGTCATATGACTCTGACAGGTAAGATATGCCCATCTGGAGCCTGGGCCAACTGAACAGTAAACTATTAGCACATAATGCTGTGAGACAGGTATTTTAACCAATGCTAACAAAAACATCCACGAACAGTACATGTGGTACTGTTATTTTCACAAAAGGCCAGCAACAGCCTGTTTTACAGACCTGATGATAAATATGAATGCTAAAAACAGGACAAAAAACATTAGAGGATCTACTAAGGGAAGGAATCTGCACTTGTGAGTCTCCCAGTGGTTTGGGATCAGCTGTCAACCGTATTTATCATATTTCCTGCCCCCAATCTGCAGTTTGATTATCCTGGGTTATTGATACTGCTCCATTTGCTGTTAAACAGTCATGAGTTCCCTCACCACAGCAGATAAATATAAGTTCAAAGCCTAAACGTCTGAGTCACTTCATAGTTAAATATACATGAGTCAAGGTATTTATTTAGGTAACAATTTCTTTCCCCAGCTTAAAAAGATAAACAACAGGAGCTCACTTAGTTTTTCCTATGAGAATGGAGGTAATGGTGGGACAACATAGGCTGTTTTCTGAAACCTTTCCATAGAGAATAAATTAAATAATTATACTTTCCCTTTGCTGCTGCATCCCCACTCCTGTGGTTTAGTCCATGTAGGACACTGAGCTCAGTTTTACATTCCTGTACATAACTGTAAACAGCAATTTTGTGGGCTCAAAGACTGCATTATACACACCACAAAGATCTGGAGTTAACATCACATCCTCAGCCATAGCTGGTTTAAGCAGAATACCATTGTGAAGCAAAGTATCAAAGTGTTGTCTAGAGGCTTGGGAGCTCCAGCACCACCTTCACCTGCTGTCACAGCCTAACCAACTTGCTACAGTTTCCCTTTTGGTTCAGTGTTCTACAGAGCTCTGTTTCTCAGCCCTGCAGCAAAGAAGTGCCAGGTGCAGTGGCAGGCACTTGGGACTGGTCCCTTGATCAGCATGTCCTCCTTGCAGGGGTGTAGCTTCAGTAACAGACCGCAGCTGGCTGAACTCAGGTTCCTTCTGGCTAAAGGTGACACCCTTTGGTTTCCGAAAGCTCCTGAGATGGATAAAGGAAGAGTACAACAATCCTCCCATTTATGTGACTGAAAATGGGATCTCGGAAAGGGGAGCCTCAGACTTCAATGACACTTGGCGAACACATTACTATCGGAGCTACATTAACGAAGCACTGAAAGGTGAGAATGACTATTTAAATCTGATCATCCAAATCTCTAGAGAGCAGCAGTGTCTTGCCACAAGACTGATGTGTATAAAACAAGTTGTGAAGAGCTGAAACAGCACTGCTGTTACCCCTCACACAAGTTTACTCTCTATCTGCTTCTGAGAGCCTTTGGGTTTAGCAGCAACTGCCCATGGATAGCCAAGAGATTGCAGGGAAAAGGTGGCCTGAGGGAAGAACAAACGCTGGGTTCAGAAGGGTAACTGCAGCTTTGTTGCACAGCTGCATCTGGCAAGAGAAGGTGCTACTATTACTTGAGGAATACCTATTTTGATTTCTAGCTTGACTACTGCTGTGTCTAAAAATTTCAACCTTTTTAAACAAACAGTTTTCAGTTACAGCACTGATCACACATACAACACTGGAGAGGGGCTTTTCTAACATACTGGGTGCTGCCAGGCAGATATTCAGAATGGGGTAATTTCCCGTGGTTTAGCAGTGAGGCCCCACAAGCACTTAAAACAATACTTGGATGCTGGTGGCTTTTCTCCTTTGTTTCTAAACTTTTGTTCATTGGACACAAGCTTTGATTTTTGGAGGAGGTAAAAGCAGTCTCCAGCACTGGCAACTACCCTGGTTGCTTGTTAGCCATAACTTGGCAGCTGACCTACCTCAAATCAGCCAAAAAGCAACACAAGAGTGGGGAATGGGGACACAGCGAAACCAATGGTACCAAAACAGTAATAACCCCACTGTGCTTGGCACCCTGGTGCTGTGTAGAATCCTAAACCATATCACTGCTTGTCGAGTGGTGACATCTCCAGTCACTTGGTTGCACAACCAGTCTCTTCTTTCTGGTCCTGGTTAACAGCCATTGTGCTTGATGGTGTTGACTTACGAGGCTACACCGCATGGACACTGATGGACAACTTCGAGTGGGTAGTGGGCTTTGATGAGAAGTTTGGGTTCTACCACGTGAATTTCACAGACGCTGACTTGCCGCGACGCCCCAAGGCCTCTGCCAGGTACTACTCACAGATCATAAACTGCAATGGGTTTCCAGACCCAGCAGCTGGCCCACATCCTTGTCTGGAACTGGAGCCTGAAGGTAAGCGACACAGCGGAAATTGTGCTTTTTCTGGTTTGTATGTGCATCTGATTCCAATCCCAAAAGATGTCCATTATCTAAGGTCTTTACAACACCACCATTTTCTGCAGTATTCTTTTTAAGGGCTCCAGGGGTGCACTGACTGATAACTGGTTTTGTTGTGACTGAAGACATTCACATGGAATTATGGCACTTTCGCATGCAAAACCAAACGACTAAAATTTTGTGTGATAGCTCCTCGAGACATGCAGCAAAATAAGTTATTCCATTCCACAAGTTATTCCACATTCCACTTTAATAAACTGCCCAAGATGTATTCCAAACCAGACACATTCAGTATTCCCATACCATGTTTTCCAAACAATTTTGAATGTTTTATGTCAGTGTTTTGGCTAAGCCTTTGGAAATACTGATTCTTTTGTCATTTACATTTTTCTGAACTAGAGGTGTGCACCAAACAGCAAGCACTGTTAGCGTGGGCTTTTGGGGATACCATGGCTGCTGAAGAATACTCACCGCTCCTGGGGTATTGACAACTGCACTCTTGGCCCCAGCTATTCCTTTACTCTGAGCTAGAACTCTGTCAGTCACTGATCCACACCATTATGGCCACGGCCACAGCACTGAGTCCTCTGTGGAGGCAGGAAGTGGCCATGCACATACACACATGCATGAAGGAGCTCACCCAGGCTGTGTACTAACACCTTCTCATTGTTTTCCCATGGACAGTGCCACCAACAGATGCCACACCAGGACCAGCTGCCAGTGTGCTCTTCTTGGGATTAGAATTAACATCACAGAGAGCAGAAATAGCACTGTATGTGCTTTTTGCTCTTTCAGGAGTTGGAGCATTGGGCTTGGCTCTTTTTGCATATAGGTATGGAAAGTTATCTAAAAGATCCTGTAAAAGATCACACATGGAACTTAGTAAACTGTAAAGCTTCCACTTACTTATTAAAGTGCTTCATCTTTTATTGAAAGTCTACAGCATGAGGGGAAGAAACCTAGTGCTTGTACTGCAGCAACTGTGATGTGCCCTAGAGACAGCTCCCCATCATTTTGTTGTTTGCTCACCATCTTCAAAGTACAAAAATAAAATATAAGTGGCCCTAATACTGTGCTTTCATATTTGAACACTGTGGGATAATTAGATTTACTTTAACTAGGAATGTGAAGCTGCATGGAACACCTGTAGTATTTAGGTCTCTTAACACAGAGATGCACAGCACATGGTACAGGGGAGAGAAGGTGATGCCTATTCCTCAACAATAGCAGCTACCAGGCCCTTGTTTTGCAGCCCTATGCAAATTTTCCATTCTACCAGATAAAGACCCATCTTTTTTCTTCCTGTACTACAGCCTGGACCCCAAACCCCATTTCAGACCTGTCTGATGAGATTTTAATATGAACAACTCCCAGGTAAGGTCATTTCAACTGGAACAAGAAGAGTTCCATTTTAAGTACGATCCTAACTGCTTGCTTCCTTGTGACACAAGTACTCCTGAGGAACTTTGCAAGGGAAGACAGTTCTGTTTTCTGGAAAATAGTTTATTGAGTGCTTGGGAATTAAAAACTACAAGGTTTTACTTGCAGTTGCAGAAGCAAGAACAAAGTTAAACATAAATTAGTTATCTGATTTACTACCTATAGTGCTTTTGAAACCCTCATTTTAATCAGTCAGTACCATGACCTTTATATTAATATCTGGCCCTTAAATTTATGCAGCAGAATATTTATAGATTAAAAAGTGCCTTTCTGTGGCAGTAGGATAATGATTATGAAAGCTGATGGACATTCTCAGTCTTTCCAACTTCTTGCTTCTAGGCCTCAGCTACATCCACTCAATTTTTCTGACTTAGGTGACTTTATTCCATACTCCACTGCAGGAATAAGAATGAAGTAACTCAGTCAGGGTAAAATTAGCCCCACTTGACCTGAAGCTTTAGTTGACTTAGGTCAAATAAGGGGAGAGAGGAAAAATAACCCTAAAACAGACAGTGATTACTGCAGTTGCTCAAAACTACATTTGTTGTGTAGAATTTCCATTCCAAGTATTGTTTTCATCTTCTCCATCATCTTGAGTCCTCAGTCTATATATTTTTCCTTCTTTTTTGAAGTCTTCCCCCCGCTTTTCCAATACTCGTTTCCTGACTGCTTGCCTAGGGTACAAATGACAGTGAGGTCTGACAGTTTCACTGGTAGTAATTACACAACAGAAGTGAACGCAATAAACAAAAATCACGTACCCTCCCTTCCCTGGAAAATACCCGTCACTGAAGTGCTAGGTGGCTGCTTCATGCGAAACAGCCCAGCAAACCAAACTACCAAAGCAAACCCTGAACTGTCAAAATCAGCCTTCAGCTGCTCGAGTTTTTTTTACAACCATGCTATAACAATTCAACATCCAATTGTCAAATTTTTTATCTTCCAAACACTATCAGCTGAAGTGGAGACATTTGTCATTGCAGCTGAATTCCCTATTCATAAATGAATGCAAGGCAATACTTTTTCTCTCTCTAATTGGAAATCGAAGCAAACAATAAGGAGCTCGCTCAATCACACACGTAAAAGCCAGGAAATCCTGGCTGGAGGTGCCATGCAGTTTACCAGAC